AGAGTTGAATGCTTTTTCCATGGCTAAGAAAAGACTGTCCGGAATCAACCTACTTGGTTACATTTTCAAGAAATTCAACTCGGTATGTTTCACACGAACGACCACGGAGTAATCCGTGTTGTGACCTGTCAATCAGATTTTGTGAATTTAGAAACTGCATGATTTTTTCTTTGATTATTCTTTCCATGATTAGAATCAGTATGGAATTACGGCTAATGGGGCGGTAATTTGCCAGGTCGTGACGTGATCCGCTTGCGTGTCGGATAATGACGGTGTCCCGCTTCCACCTAGCAGGTTATACACAGGCCTTAATTGAAAGGTCAGTATGTTCAACGGGAACAGAAGGATATCGTGCCCAGCAAGTTTAAGCAATGCTGGTGGTATGCTACCAGGCCCAGGGTGAAAAGAATGCTTTAGAGCTGTTATTTACCTGCTAATGCTATACAGGTTGAACTAGACTATCTGTTTTCTCAATAGTGAGTAGAGGCAGTGTAACGCTTACTGGTGGAACGTTGAATGAGGCGCAGCCAAATGATCCCGGAATCAAAGCAAGTTTGGATCACAATATATGGTTAACGGCATCCGGTTTCGGATTTGCCTGTCACTGTGGCCAGCCACAGGACGCCTGCGCCTACTGAGGGACCATGGATGGCTTGCGCTGCACTACCCATGGTTCCATCCACACACCCCATATTCAGTGTAAACCCGAAGGAATAAGACCGAGAGGCATGTGGATTGGAGCCACGTTTCATCAACGGAGCCGGCCCACACTCCTTCACAGGCCAACACAAGCACGCTGTATTTGGGAATCAATCGCACACAAGGCGGTGGCTGGATCGTAGTCCGCTCCACACTGAGTGCATGGAACCACTCTTCGAGCCTAGCACGGCCACTTGGACTGTGCATCCCGTCCCCTCCAGCAACGGCCAACTGTCTCCTGGAGCCAGTATGGACGAAATAGTGGGTAATAGACAGGTAGGCACCTCGTCAACATGCACAACTACAGTACTCATAAAATACATACAGTTAAGTAAAGTGGAGCAAACGTCAATGGTTCAGGGTCCCGGTGTATCATCGTCAACAGCATTACAAGTAAGGGAGCGAAGAGAAGGGGCGCTGTCAATTTCACAGCTCAAAGCAGACCGCCAGAGGCAAGTAAAGTGATTGTATAGGATTGAAACTTTACGCAAAGTCACTGGCCAATCACCATGGCCTAATCACAAAGCGCGCAAAGATCATCAGTGGACCTCAGGCAAACACATACAAGACCGTAGTCTATTGTCAACGGGGACCTGATAATCGCTTAGCATGCGTCCACATTAGTGCAATACCATGGACACGGCGTTATCAGATTTAATGAATGGAACAAAGATACTGGTGCAGACAAACAAATGAGGGAGTGAACGTGCAAACCACCGGACAAGGTTTGGAACTCATAGGGAACTATACAGTTGCCAAGCCAAGCACATGGTAGTGGTGGACTACTGGACGAAGGTGAGGGTATATGGAGCATACCGGCGGGGGGAGGTGACATCCAGTGAACAAACATCCGGGTTATATGAAGGCATGGACCAAGGTGTACGAGAAACTATCGCAACAACGATGAAAGGTCCTTTGCAGGGACCAAAAAGTGCAGTACAACTGACGAGGTCACGTTGTAGAGGAATTTTTCAATTACTGCAAAACCCCGGTAGAGGCAGTCTTTCTTGTACAACAACCGTGCCTGTGTTAATCGACGAGAACTGCTTATTAAATAGCTGATATAGCTCTCCTGGGTCTATAGTGAGACTGCGGTATGTTGAGCCAATTCTTCTCGGTTGATGACTTTGTGATTCGTATTTGGCTTTCATAACGTGATGCCGCATGTGTTTGCATCTGGGAGCTGCTAGCGCTTGTGTCTCTTGTGCCATAAGCTTTTTTAGTGTTGGGCTTGCAACTCCTGGAAGATTTTACTAGTTTGTATGATCGTTCATTCATCTTTTCGAACCTAGAGTGCAAGCATTTTAGGCGCATCCCAACAGCTTTGGGATTTTGAGAACGAGGCAATGGCTACTTTCTACATTATATCGATGTAAGCAGGTCAGTACAATAGATCAGATGCTGGTAGAAGTCATCTGCAGCGATATCTGGACTGTTTGTAAGGAAAAAGCCATCCCAGTTGGGGGATCTAATAACCAGACTGGAGCTGTTCCAGCCGAATTTGTGGTAGGGTTGGTATTGGTAAGCATAGTGAGGGCTCGCTGCTGTTAGTTTGTCAATTTTGAAGGTTAGTTAGATAACTTTTGATCCCTCCCAAGGAGATTGCTAGGAGTCTGTGTTTTTGCACTGGATATGCCGTACGTAAAATACAAGTCTAGTGTGTACCTGCCTCCAGTAGGACAGAATCCTTGCTGTGTCCATCCACGATTGGCTAGTGAAGAAAGAAAATTCTGATATTTAGCGGGTGCTGTTCCTTCCTGCCATGAAACATCGGGCATGTTAAGGTCGCCACCTATGATACTTTGCAAGAACGGCATCTCAGATAGCCACTCAACTAATTCGGTTAATTGGTCTAATTTTGCCTTTGTTGCGCCAGGCGGCAAGTGGATGCAACCAACAAGAAAACGACAGGAGTTTCTTAATTTGCGCTTAGGTGGAGTCCTCGAAGCTACCTAACGAGGTAACCTCCACTCTACCCGCATCTTGACGGACGCAACCCAGCCGCCACCTCCACCAGTAAGACGACCACTGGCAAGTCATGAAGCCAGAAACAAAAAGCTCTGCGAGCCAAACCATGTTTTCATTACAAGCACAACATGCGGGTTAGAGTAATGAGGGTCGCAGGAGATGCATCTTGTTGACCAGCGATAAAGCAGTCGTTAGAAGGTTAACTACATCTTCTTGAAGTAGAAAACATCAGCCTGAAGGGTGTTAAAAGGCGAGGTCACGATCAGTTTAGTTGTACTCCTTGTTGACTGTATCAAAGGGTCCATGGGACTTTGAGCCACCGTATAAGGCGCGATTTACAGGTGGTCATAAAAAGAAAGCAGAAACATTCACTCATTCTACACGCGGTCAAAGTGTTCGAATCGACTGAGATTCACCTCACAGTCGGCCGGTGTCTGGAAGAATTACTCGCTTGCGTCGTATTCCCTAGATCACCATATCCTGCACACTATTATTCCACATTGCTGTGGCTGAGAAACACCCTGGTCATTGTGCCGCAACACCGTTCAAGAAGGGAATAGCAATGGAAAGCAAAACAAAAGTATTATTATGCTTTGTTTTTAATTATGCATCATCGACGAGATCCTGGTTAAGGAGAGGTTTACCTGAGGAGACGGGGTAAGATAGCTCACATCACAGGCCATTTGGGTCGGTTCTTCACCAAGTCAACAAACGTATCCAACCAAACGTATTCATATTTTCTCGGACTACAACCCGAAAATCGAAAGGCTCCGCGTAGGAACTGGCTACTACATTGTATACCTAGCTCACGTGCGACCGGTGGTCTTCGCGTAGACAGCAAAGCGTCGGTACGGTATACCGATGTACTGCTGATGCTTCTCTCTCACGGTGCTGATTTAGATTGAGTGTTGTAATCCACCCACACAGTGAGTACTTCAACATATTTTGTCTATATATACTATGCACCAATAGTGAAACTGTGATTAAAGACAGGCTTAGTAGATGAGGGAGGGGAACAAAGAACTTTTGCCTTCCGATTTGCCAGTTCATCTTCTATTCCAGGTATTTGCATTTCTGAATGCCTTCTAGTTGATTTCCACCAAGGGTCAGCGTATAAGTTGGTCCCTGCGAATCTTGGAGGGAAGCTTTGCATCAAAAAAAACCCAAAGCATAGCTCGAAATGATTGACAACAAGTGCTGATATGTCTAGTAATGCTTGGCATGTTTATGAGTTGCCACACATTGGCGCGACATCGTAAACTTACTCCAAGTCGATCACCTAAGAGCGACTCCACGACTTTTAAGTAGCGAAGTTGAAAAGAAAGTGTGATCTTGAAGCACGCAGAAAGTTTGCTATCCCCATCGGTAGATGTTAGTTCCCAGGCAATGCAAGCGAGAAATGACAACTGAATAGCGACCTGCCGTAAGGTGTAGGTTTGTTCTTGCTTAACGTCTTCTGCTATGTATACTTTGGCGCACATGCAGACTGGTGCCATTGTTTCATCTGTGGCCTTTCAGTTCTTAACACTCCATTTTAATTGTCTCCTTCGGGGCATGTCGTCGGGATGTCTCCCTCTTGATAAAGAGTGGTGTTTACAACGCCACCGCTCGGGCGGTGTTGTTATATGGCAGTGAGTCATGGCGCTGGCTCTCGGCCTTCGATAATGGGTGCTTGAGGTGGGCTGCCCTTGTGGGGTGACAATAACGTATCTGCAACAGTGAAGTCAAACGTCGTGTTTTAGATAATACAAGTTGTCTCTTCAACAAGCTGGTTTTACCGCGTCAGTTAAGATGCCTAGGTCACATCCTGCGTATGTCAGCCGAGCGTTTGCCCTATCCTGTTCTGTTCGCTCGTACAAAGCTCGACGGGACGAGCACACGCTGGTCAACCATCCACCTGGAGACAGCATTTGACATTATTGACTTCACGTCTTGTTGTCGTTGAATCCACACGCGTGCCTATTTGGGGACCTAAGGACGAAGAGTGCCTAGGGCTGGAAACAATTTAGGACATGGCGCGCAATCAAAACCAGTGGAAGATCTGTGCACGTGCTTGTTTAGATTCAGATACCTAACGCTTAACAATTAAAAGACATGAAAAAACAACAAATGTGTGAAAAACGCCTCGTTCTTTTTGTGGCACAACAGCTGAACTGTGTTGCTCACTTTCAACTTTTATGTCATGATAATGATGCTCCGGCAATTCTAACTGTCATCCGCTGAATTTCATGCTTTTGTTTGGCTCTGTCCATTTCTTATGCCGTCGACTAACTACTACTACCGCCGTCGGAGCGTCAAGTTTGACTATTCTTTCAAACTTTTCTCCTTTGCAGTATTACCGCGCCTACTTGGTACTGCGTGAATGCTTGCGTTTGAATCCAGGAAAGTTGTCCATCTTTTTCCTGGCCATCTCCCTGTGTTTCGGCCAGCTTGGACTTACCGACGATGGGATTGAACTAGCTTCACGTGCTGTCGAGGCAGGTTGTCGTTTTGCTGGTTACTATGTTCCGCTGAAACTTATTAATTTTCTCTTTACATGTTTATACAGCAGTTGTTTTCATTACTCGCCTACCCGCCTAATATCGAGTGAATCCCTTTTCTTACTAACTCTTGCTGTACTTATTCAGGATATTAAGTGCTCCCAAGCACCATCTCTCTCTGTGCTGTTGTCCTTCAAAGTCAATAAGGTTTATATTTCTTTCTGGGCCGATCTAAGTGCCATTCCCTTAAACGTTGGTATGTATTCCTGCACAGTCGCTTACAGGAACATAGGGACTGAACAGCCCAGAAACTGTCAGGTTTTACGAAAGCATCTGACGCAGACATGGTGAAATTCCCGACTTACTCCTTGCTACTAGTAACTTGTAGCCTCTGATCTTGGGTTGTGTGAATGGGGTGTTGCTCAGCAACCTGTGGTGGAATTTAGACGAAAGCTCACAGCTAGGTAATAGTTCGTGATATAATTTTTACCTTATTCTATGCAAGCGCAAGTGGAATAATAATCACAATCGTTATAATTGATTGTCTGCCAATTTGGGGCAACAACACGCACATTACATTCAACGTCACATGACACTAAGCACGACACCGGCACGAATTAGTACAGTTGCATTGACCTTTCATCACAGGATGCTGAGTAGCGCAAGCGACAACAGTAGAGATGCGCAATGAGAGGGTATTTGCACCTGCTACATCCTCTCTTTCACGAGGCACATGCCAGACGCACTTGTACGCAACAACCAAAGTCCCGTTTCCATCCTCTACTTCTCAGGTGGCCTCCAAACGCAAAGATTCGGTGATGTGTGCCAGAGCCCATCTGATGCTCGGTTGGGGCTATTCCCTATTTGCTCGCAAATGTCGCATTGTGGATAAGAAAAATGAACTGCAGGTCAAGGCTACCGCGGAGTATAAAATGTACTACTCAGTTTGTTTTGTGGTGTAGTCCTTTTTTAAACTTAGTTCTTCCATGTAATGCTATCTTTCTTTGGAAGACTATGGTTTACACAAGAATGCACGTTTACCTCGGTTGCACAGTGTTTGAAGCCGTCAAAACACATTTCCCATTCGTTAACAACTGAATCCATACTTGGTAATTGGTCAAGCATGGCTCACGCGAATATTTCGTCTTCCATCAATCACTTAAAATAAAGCCTTCAATCTGATCCTAAAATTTCAAACGCATGATTTGTACAATGGACCCATCAGAAATCCATCGATGTGTTTAATAAGACGGTGCGATAGGACATGGAACACCAATTGCGAACAGATGAATGTTGTTCGCCGGCGTAGGACAATCGGAGGAAAAAAATAACGCCATCTTATGTTGTTTGTTCGAAGTTAATCGTCATTTTCTTGAGGTGTCCTTCAAACCGTCTAATCAACACTTGATGAAGTTATCGGGTGCTTTTTGAGACAGGGTGTAACACTCTCCAACACTCTTCGGTTGTCACAAGCTCCAAGAGCCCACAGTAAGGGCTGAACAAAATGCGGTTCGCTAAACTGAGAGAACTATGGGGTTTTTCGTTCATTATCTTGAAGATAATCCCTAACTAAAACACCAACGCGAAAACAAGTTGTGGCAGCACTTTTCCTGCACCTGTCAAATAGCGATTGTGCCCCGTTCTTTTGGCCATTCCGACATTTTCGTAGGTCGTTAGAGCATTCGCACACTATTCGCCGTGATAGTTAGTTTGCTCCACTCGTTTTTGGGTGGTGGGTTTTATGGCGATTCTGTCACCTAACCAGGGAAAGCCTGTCTGGCCTGCTTCAAAGTGCTATCTTGCTTAACTTCAAACTCCTATCCGGCTGTAAGGTAGCCAATATACAGGACTAATGAGTGAAACGAAATGTATCCCGTTTAACTGAATAATTTTTTCTCATTGAACTAATGAGTCTTCCTAGGAGATTTTACTTTCTCCCGCACAATCATCAGATGGAGTAGTTGAGTCATGGATAGCAGAACGCAATCTGCATCATATCTGAGCCATGTCCGAAACGGTAGCCAACAACTGATGCTGACGATGGCTAAGTTTTCAGTCAACTGCCTCATATGTTGCTCCATCTCATCGGCTTATTACCGCGAGATGTCACCCAACCGAGTGCGGTGTCCGAAGACGACACACACTTAGGTAAACGGTTGACCAGACTTTAGAGGGTGGAGCACTACTACCACCAAGCCCTTTATCTGAACGCTATTCACTATGATTCAAATAGTCCATTACTGATCCAACTGCACCTCTTAATATGATATCTCAATCCGTAACCGTAATTATTCAGTTTATGTTGTATGTGATCATCTCAGCTGGCCGTAAAACTTGGCATCAATTACTAACTTAGTTGGATCATGTTTTGTCAACAATAGAGTTTTTTCCACAATTGATTCAACCTTTTGTTTCCAAATATTTATGAACTCGCATTTGTACGTTAACAATCTTGCTCTAAACCGAACAGGGCCACTGAATTGGATCCTGATGACTATCTGGCGTGGTATCATCTGGCTGTCGAGTTATCCATTCAAAGACAACTGGAAGATGCACTAGCGGCCTGTCAGAGCAGTCTGCGTTTGATGCCTTCACACGCCAAGACACTTCGCTTGTTGGCTCTTCTGCACACAGCGGGCCGAAAGCGTTTGGACCAAGCATCCAAAGTTCTTCGCGTTGGCCTGGCAGATAAACCGAACGACTTCAGCTTACTCTTCCTACTAGCTAAGGTTGAAGCCGTCAGACATAATCCAAAAGCTGGCTTATTGGTGTATCTGCGTCTTTTGGAGGCCTGGAGAAATACCTTTTCTCTTGAAGTTAACACCGAGTGAGACTTTTATACTCGAGATTCCATTCGGCTTCGCCTGTTTACCTCGCGCTTTTGACGTTCTCTTCAGTGATCATTTTCGTTTACAACGGTAGCTGCGGATCAGCAGTCTTCTGGGAAACTTCTGTTTGCTTTGGTATGTTTGTCCGGCACTTATTGCGCAACCGATCTGAGAACGCATGCTGTGGAATTGTTTGCTCACTACAATAACACTACGGGAGGCATTCTATTTCGCATTAGCCAGAAGAGAAACCGTCTAGTTCTGCGCATGCTGTGCACTGAATAATGACATAGACTCTCCTCCGTACATCTTATGCGTTATATTCTTACAATCGCTATTACAAATAACATACAGAAACTTGCCACATATCTAAATCACCTCATGTTCACTAGCACGAAGTTTTCACCACCACTGTCCAGGGTAAGTCATTCAGCACAAGGACCATGTCCGTCCCCGCTCTGTTTCGGTTCCGCAAGTCCGCCTGCCGACAAGCCCGCTCACTGAATTGAAAGATGTGTAGAACGCTAATCAACCGGATACTCCGCACTATCGTTGCTCGATCGATACCAAGCTAGTTGGGATAGTTCCATGTAAAGGGAGGAGGAATGTGGCATCTGCGCGATCTAAGTTCGCTTGCTCCCTATTAACTGGACTCGCCCGCGACAGTACGCCAAGTTAATCATTGATGGGACTGATTTAAATCGTGCGAAACATTATGTTTGAGGCTAGACACAATACATTTTGTGTACTGCTGGAACCGGCGTGTTCTGCAATCTTGCGCTACAAGCCGAATACTGCTTTTTTACTGAGAGCTGTAGTTTCGCACAGACCGAGCTTTAACACCCTGAAATACAAGAAACTCAACACGCAACACACATACCACATCAACCGCCATGTTGGCATTGCTTAGTAAATCGAATAGATGCGGACACAGCGCACCTACGAATCGCTGCGCTGATTATGCTTAGATAATCAGTTGACTCGCCATCTTTTGGATGCTGGCTCCACGTAGCCACACTTGTGGCCTACCAAGGCTGCTTGGCTCAGGTACTCGCGACAGCATGTGCTACAACATCATGCGCTTGAGGTCGATGGGCAGATTCCATCGGCACCTGTCCTTTCCGTACCCGGCGTTCCTTCTCCGCATTTACTTGTGCTTTCTGCAGCACCCAGGCCACCGCCCTCTTGATCAGCTCAGGACATTTGCGACGATCAACTCCTGAAATCACCCTTGGTGATAAACTCATCTTGACCATGTGCTGGTAACGTAATCTCGCTTTCCCCACCTGTCGCTTCTCTGCATTAAGTTGGCCGTACAAAAGCTGTTTGAGTATCCTCGTCGAATTCATTCGGCTGATATGCCCCAGCCACCTCAGGTGCTTCAGCAGAAGTGTGCACTTCACTGCCTACATGGCACTACGGCACAGCAATTCCATGTCTGCAACATTGTCGAACCAACCGATGTGCAGAATCCGTCTCATACACTGTTGATGTAGTCGCTACAGATATCTGGCGTCGATTTGTGTGTCATCAGCTTCGTTCCAACGGCAAACTGGTGGTTGTTCCACACTCGGTACTCTAGCTTCCCGAATAAAGTCGCTGCATTCGGTACGCAGATACTTAGCTCACTGTGTATTTGATGGTCAGTCGAAACCACACTCTCAAGGTAGCAGAAGCGGGAGGTGGTTTCCAATACTTCAGCACCAATGCTGATTTTCGGCACCATTGCAGATTGCACCCCTACTGAAGGCGGAAAGAGACAGACCGTTTTGCTTGTGTTGATGGTGAACCCGAATTTGGCCGCTGTCGAAGCCAGAGCACTAGTCATGTGCTGCAACTCATTCGCGCTGTGTGCAAACAACGCATAGTCGTCAGCGAGCAGCAACATACGGATAGTTGTCTCACACACAGGGGTTCTCGCACCGAAATGACGGATGTTCAGCAACCCACCATCAATACGGTGCTCCACACGAACACCGTAAGCACAAGCAGCATCAAAAGCACAAGACATCATGACATGAAGATATATATTAAACAGAGCAGGAGCTAAGACACAGCCTTGCTTCACACCAGAGACAACTACAAAGTCACCTGAGGTCTGTCCACACGGCTGCACCCTCGCCCGCATACCACTGTATATTATTATTTTTATTATTCAACACTTGACCAATATACACTTGGCAGTGCCACAACACATAGTTAACAACAACAAAAAGGGGAAAAACGGGGAGTCAGTGCAAGGATTTGAAAAGTTTAGAATGTTAATGCGATGGACAGATGGTTTTGAAATGCCTACCTCACGACTAGATTGCCATACAGACGTTTATGGATTTCGCATAGACCTTTTGGGAACTGTCCTCTTTTATGTGGCTTGTCGATGTGAGTGGTCTTCCGGAACACTTCTTGTGGACGCTTTAATACAAACTCTATTCTATTTGTGGTAACGCTTGTTGGTGGTACTTTTTGTAACTCTGTCCTAAATTGTCTTTGAAGTTCAATTGCGTTTCCGTACTTCCAGTAGCATTTTATAATGAATTTCATTTCTTTAGAGCTTAATCTGGCTGCAAAAATAAAAAATTGAGCATAGGCGATGACAAAACAATATGTTTGTAAATGTTTTTACATGTGCAAAAATAATACTGTTATAATAAACATCTATTTTACAAGTGTTTAAAGTGTGCGTACATTTTTTGCCTGATCGCCTGCTTTGTTACCATCGATATGGCGTGTGTATAAATATTTTCGGTGAAATCTGTGTTTGGCCTTGGAGTTATTCAAATTGTCTTGTTTTGCTTCTAAAGATGTCATCAAACTTAGGTTGCAGTGAAAGTGTTACCTCCCTTTCATAGACTGTACAGTGCACTTTCTGCGACGAGTGGATACACATTGCTTGTTGCGGTCTCTCTCTACAGCCCGGTGAATGGCTCCAGTGGATTGATTCTCAGGTTGTCACTCTCCGTTGCAACGCTGCAGAATAGCAGTGATCAGTAGCGACGTTTCGAGAGGAATACTCGCTGGCAGTCCTCACTCCACTCCTATTTCGACTAAACAATGTACCGCTGTTCCATCCCCGGCCATCTTCCTGCCGCTGAATGTTTCTGGTGCGGCGGCTCTACCAGATAAGAGAAGTCGTGTTTCTTCCACTTCGGAACTTCCGGTGCCTGTTAATTGTGACAGTGACCGAAGGAGCATGTCGTTTGCAGCAGTGGTGAGTGAGTGCGTGGCATCAACATTAGTTCACAGCAGCACAGTTGTGCGATGGAAAAAGGTTGACTTTGTAAACTTAAGTCGATCAACTTGAAAAATTGCTTACAATAGTCCACCCCCCAAGCTACTGGTTCAGGAACGCAACCAACCTACTCCTCGTGACAGATGCATGGTTGTTGTGAACGCCCCCAAGTCAAAGAAGGATATCCCGGCTGAGAAGATCTTGGACGACGAACAGTTCCGAGGAGGTATGATCTCCCCACTTTTCGATGAGGGTGAGCAGTAGATCAACATTGTTTCGGCTTTCCGTCTTAGTAGGAAACCAGAAGATCCGATTATGTTTCGTTCGCTTAAGTTAATTTATCAAACCGGAGAAGAAGTTCGTCGCATTGTGGTTTCGTCGAGGTCGTGGCTGCATTGATCACATCTTCACTTTGCGTCAGTTGTTGGAGCACTGTCACATATATTGGCGGCCCACCGTTGTCGTGTTCCTCGACATCAAAGGTGCATCCGATTCGGTGGACAGACGTGCACTTTGGGACTGTCTACTCAGGAAAGGTGTACCTGAGAAATATGTAAATATTATCCGATCATTATACGCACGTAGCTCAGGCAGAGTGAGGGCTTACGGCAAGCTGTTGTCGCCCTTTAATATCTCCAGCGGTGTGAGACAAGGATGCCCGCGGTCACCTCTCTTTTTCAACTTCGCTATTGACGAAGTCATGGAAATCGCGTTCACAGGACACGACTTAGAAGGTGTGGATCTGCTCCCAGGAGAATGACTTCTTGACTTGGAGTATGCAGACGACATTGCCCTAATCTGTGACAGCTCACAAACATGCCAAGCGGCACTGGACAGATTAGCACTGGCTGTCCGTTACTTCGGGCTTTGCTTTGCACCATCGAAGTGCAAAGCGTTTCTCCAAGATTGGCAGGGATCGCCTCCTGCGTTGACCCTTGATGGGGATCAGCTAAAAGTCGTACAAAATTTCAACTACCTGGGAGGTTGTATCAGCGCCGGTGGGATTAAAGATGAGATCCAAAACCGTATAGCAGAAGCTCGGGGCGCTTTTGCTAACCTTCGCCACTTATGGCGCCGGTGCGACATCACTCTCGCCCTGAAAGGTAGAGTGTACAAAGCAGAGGTACGTCCGACCCTACCGTACGGTTGTGAAACCTGGCCCCTTAGATCACCGGACATAAAGAGGCTAGTTACGTCCCACCACCGGTGCCTTCGCTATTTAGCTCACATCTGGTGGGGACACCGCGTGAACAACGAGCGTGTTCGACGCCTTGTTTATGGCACAGGAAAAGGAAATGAACCGCTTAGCACCGTTATTTCACGCATCAGGCTCCGATGGCTCGGCCACGTGTTACGCATGCCAGCCCACCGACTCCCTCGACGTGTGTTGTTTGCGCGCCGGGGATGTGGATGGAAGAAGTGGAGACGTGGCAAAACGATGACTTGGTCGAGATGAATGAAGGCCCTCACTTTGAGCTGGCCTCGGTTGGAGCGTCTCGGCTCCCTGGTTGGGGTCCGAAAGACGATGAACACGTTTGGTTGGACACACTTGCTGACATGGCAAGGAGCCGACCTCAGTGGCGTTCGTGCTGTGAGTTTCTTTGTCCCACCCCATCCCTCTTAGCCTCCCCCTCAAACCACGATCTCATTATTTAGCCTTATATAATTTTGCATAGTAAATTATTATGTTTACTTCATAGTAGCTGCTAGGTAGCTTACCGGAACGATGCCCATCCGTTACCGGTAGCTCAGCTGGCTTGCACCTGTTGC